AAAAAAAAAAAAAAGCCAAAACAACCCCCAAATTTTTTATTTCAAGCATTATGATCTCAAAGGAGAAAAAAAACCCTTGTAAAAAAAGCAAAACCAACAAAACCAAAAAATCTTACTCTCATTTTTATTATCTTTCTCTTTTATGTTGATTGGCAAACTTAAAGCTCATCTATTTTATTGCTTAAAAATACAGAAACCTGGAATATTTCTGGGAAATATAAATACCAACTTGTCAAGTTTAAGTATCCTTGGATAACAGGATTGGCAGATTGGGGGAAGAGGATGAAATGGGGCATTTTTGCATTTCACTTCAATACATTCAAAGCAGAATAAAAATTTTTTTCAAATAATATTACGACTTTAAGAAAAACAAATTGGGACTTCTTTTGCTGGTAACATGACAAACCAGATAACCTGAATAATCTCTGTCAGACATCTGTCTTAAAAAACCCAAACATAAATAAATGAATATGCACAACAATCAGAAAACCCAATGCAACAGAAATGAGGGTTCTGAAAAATGAATTAAGTGAACAGATACTTCTGTTGCCACTCAGCAATAGGAGCCCTGCACCCCCAAAGCTAAGATCCTTAAAATAATTTTAAGTTCAGTGAAAGAAAATTACAAAATTCTAGCCACTAATGAATGGACTTGACAAGAAAGCTTATCTGTTTCAATATGGGTGGGATAGGGAGATCAAAATAATTAGAAAGGTCTTCACGTTATATTATTTAGTAGGAAACTAAAGTTTCAAGAAACAATGTATAGTACAACCCTATATATAAATTATATTTATATGCTAAGAAAAATATTTATATAGCAGTAGCATTCTCAGAATTAAAATTGTTTTTGGGGTGCCCACATGGCTCAATTGGCTAAGCATCCAATTATTGATTTTGGTTCAGGTAATGATCTCACAATTCATGGGTTCAAGCCCTATGTCACGCTCTGTGCAGACAGTGCAAAGTCTGCTTAGGATTCTCTCTCTGTTCCTCCCTGCTTGTGCTCTCAAAATAAATAAATAAGCTTAAAAAAATAATAATTAAAATTGCTTTTAAGTCTGCATGCTTTTTTCTACAAGCAGTATTATTTTACTGTGAAGAAGTAACATAACTGCAATTCATATTCCAAATTTCCACTAGCACACAAGTCAATTTTTTTTTAATGTTTATTTTTGAGAGAGAGAGAGAGAGAGAGCGAGCGAGCGAGCATGAGTGGGAGAGAGGCAGAGAGAGAGAGGGAGACACAGAATCCGAAGCAGGCTCCAGGCTTTAAGCTGTCAGCCCAGAGCCCAAAGCGGGGCTTGAACCCACAAATCATGAGATCATGACCTAAGCCGAAGTCAAAAGCTCAACCGGCTGAGCCACCCAGGCGTCCCACGTAAAATCTGATCCATCAAACAGAGAAAGAAAAAACAAAGTAGTAAAGAACTATGTGAAATAGGTGAAACAGTGATAAAGTATTTCAAATACCAAACAAGGAACTGATGATAGAGGCAATGAGCAAAAGTTAATATTCCAATTGTATTAAAACTTGGGCACTAATTGGTAATGTTATGCCATATATCCAGAAGACAGTCTAAAATTAACTTGTCTTCATATATTATATTCTTATTTAATTAAAATTAAATGGATAAGTACTATATACTTAAACCACATGTCAGACATGTCTGTAATACATTCACAGATTAGGTATGTCTACTTGATTCTAACACACTAAGATGATATTATGGCTAAAGGCAAGGTACTATAGGCCTTAATTTTCTTGTTAGAAGACTACAACCTTCAGCTCAATCTTTCTGTTAATATAAACCTCTAGTTTCTAAAACTAGAAACTGTAAAACACAATCTGACTTCCATTAGGAAAATAAAATTAAATGCTACTGGATGATAAGAAAGTGCTATGAACTAAGAAAAATATGGTTTATAAGTTACAAAGAATTCAATGTAAACAAATCATACCTGTAATGCATTTCGGTCTCTCATGGCTATTTCAAATGAAGTAATTACCACAGGATGAATCTGCAGTGTCCCTTTACGCTTGTGAATATTCTTTACTAATTTTCGACGTTCCTGCTGGGTTCCATGATATAACATAGTAGGAATCTAGAAGATTTTACATTGGAACAAAATATAAGTATCAACAATTTGGAAAACATAATATTAATCATTTAGGAGAGAAAAAAAGACAATTTAATTTAATCTTAGCTCTATTTTTCTATACCAAATGAGTCAATCACCTCTACTAAATTATTTTATTACTACTATAAGGGAATAAGGAAAAGTCATAAAAACAAATTAAGTTTAAAGCAAGGATATAGCTAAGATGACACACATATATGGAAGGTAATCACAGTAAGAGAAATAAATTCTACCTAGGTCAGACTTAGGTGAATCAAATTTCCCAGTACACTCAAAATCATCCAAGCCAACCCCCTGTTGGGTTCCATGTTGGTAGCACAGAGCCTGCTTGGGATTCTCTCCCTCCTTCTCTCTCTGCCCTTCCCCTGCTCGCGCTCTCTTGCTTGTTCTCTCTCTAAATAAACATTTAGAATTATTTTTGGCAAATATCCAAAATTATTAATACCTACTCTTTTCCATATACACTAAAAGTAGATTTTGCAGACATTTGAAAAATAACTTAAATAAGAGTGTGTGGCTGGCTCAGCCCGAGGAGTGTGCAACTCTTGATCTCAGGGTCATGAGTTTGAGCCCCAAGTTGGGTGTATAGATTAAATAAACTTAAAAACGAAACAAACAAAAAAATCCACACAAAACCTCAAATAAGATGTAGCGTTTCTGTAGTGCAGAAATCAACATAATTATAGTAACAGTTCTACAATTTAATTCAGGCAACAAAACAATAAAAATATTTGCAATGAAATGTATTCAACAAAAGGAAACATATCTTACGTCTGGTGTAAATCTTTGGAATTCAGCCATCCAGTTAGGAAGTGTAGACAAAGGTCCACAGACAAGAAAAGGTCCAGGTACTCCTCTCTGAATCATCAGTGCAATTGTAGCAATACACTGAACTGTCTTTCCCAATCCCATTTCATCTGCTAAAATGCCATTTATTCCATTTTCCCAAAGCATCTGGACAAAATAACACACACTGTATTTAAGTTGATATAAACACCTATTGAATTAGCAATAGTTTATTCTTTTTACCCAAAAATAATTCTGATGAGACTGACACGTTCACGGTTAATAACACTTGTGAGAAGTCAGTTATCAAAGCCATAAAAGTGTTGGCAGTCTTGAATAAGACACCAAAAATTTAGTCTTGATGGATGGATGGATAAATAAATTTGAAAATAAGTATTTACACACAAATGTTCATTTCATATTTAATAATGAAACTTGGAAGGAACAACTCAAGTTGTGTTACAGCACATTAACAGGTTATTATATAGAAATGAACCAGTATCTTGTATTAAAACAGAGAATTCATTACCCTAAGCCATTCCATGCCTTCCACTTGGTACCACCGCATCACTCCTCCCGTGAAGTGTTTTGGTTGTTGAAAGGGTACAGGTTGTCCATTACATTTCCGAACTGGGTCAAAAAAGAATTTAGTATTCTGCCTAACCGTTTCAGACAATCTATTTTTAATCATACTATTTGAATCTTTGTTTTTCTGAAGGTCTTCTACACAGAGATTAGAAGAGGAGGTTTCATTCTGTAAAGAAAAAACTTTAATTAGGAGTTTGGTATATAATGCTACTACCCTCTATCAGAAAACTGAATAAATTTGGAGGGCCTAGGTGGCTCAGTCAGTTGAGTATCTGCCTCTTGATTTTGGCTCAGATCATGATCTTGCGGTTTGTATTGAGTTTGAGACCCCTGTTGGGTTCCATGTTGGTACCACAGAGCCTGCTCGGGATTCTCTCCCTCCTTTTCTCTCTGCCCTTCCCCCGCTCCTGCTCTCTCGCTTGTTCTCTCTAAATAAACATTAAAAAAACTAATCAAAATTTACCCAGTCCCATAATCATTAAGTATGGAGAATTAAAACCATTTGTTAATAAAACCCTAGAGATGCTACTTCCATTCTCCCATAAATGCAAAGCCACTGGAGAAAAAACAACTTCTGAAAATAACTCTTACAGATTATAGGCACACACTACTGAAATGACCTTTACAAATTACACCTCCCAAACCTCTAAAATGAACTACTCAAAAATTTATTAAACTATTTTCTTCATAATTTCTTTCACTTTCTAAAGCAAAGATAATGGATAATGTCTGTAAAAAATAGGAAAGAAAAAAAAATTTCTTATCAAGGAAACATTTACTTCCATCCAAATACTTTCACTGCAGAAAAAGGGGCAAAGTTTAAGAACTCACTACATCACGCCTAAGAGTATCAATTCATCTGTAATGACACTCATAACCAACTTATGACTAATGACAGACTTTACTGGTTACCAATGTCCACAACTCTATTTTAAGAATAGGAGGGGCGCCTGGGTGGCGCAGTCGGTTAAGCGTCCGACTTCAGCCAGGTCACGATCTTGCCGTCCGCGAGTTCGAGCCCCGCGTCAGGCTCTGGGCTGATGACTCAGAGCCTGGAGCCTGTTTCCGATTCTGTGTCTCCCTCTCTCTCTGCCCCTCCCCCGTTCATGCTCTGTCTCTCTCTGTCGCAAAAATAAATAAACGTTGAAAAAAAAAAATTTTAAGAATAGGAAAACGAGGGGCACCTCAGTGGCTCAGCTGGTTAAGTGGCTGGCTCTTGATTTTAGCTCAGGTCATGATCACAGTGTTTACGTGGGATTGAGCCCCACATAGGGCCCTGTGCTGACAATGCAGAGCCTGCTTGGGATTCTCTCTCTCCTCTGTTCCTCCCCCTTCTCTCTCTCAATAAAAATATTTAATAAAAAAGAATGTGAAAAGGATCACTGAGTCAATTCAAATGAAAAAAGTCTTATAAATGAGAACTCATAAATAATGCCACAACTGGATATTCAGCTAGAAAATTACAAACTGAGTTTCACTATTCCATATGTAAAACTGATTTGCGATAAACATCACAATCAAATATCAAAACATCAAAACCAGAACCATCAAGCTTTTAGAAGTAAACAGAATTATCTTGTGACAGGCAAAAATTTCTTATATAAGACAAATAAATCTCTAACCACCAAAAGGGAAAAAGTGAGAAAAAAGTGAAAAAGTTGAAAAGTGAAAAAGTTGAAAAAGTGAAAAGTGAAAAAGTTTTGGAGCTACTCCAAAACTTAAAAGTTCTGTTTACTAAAAGATATCATTAAGAAAATGAGTAAACAAGCCATAGACTGAAAGACACAGTGTATAAATCTGACAAAGAATTTATACCTTATTATATAAACAACTCATGTATCAAGAAAAAAAGCAAATAACCCAACAAATGGGCAAAAGCTATGGGCAGAAACTTTATAAAACATACAGCCATTAAGAACATGGAAATACCCATCAAGTAATTAAGAAAATGCAAAATAAAACCAGAATATTCATTTCACATTCAAGAAAATAGCTAAAATTAAAAGATATGAATTGCTGGCAATAGCATGAACAGATACTTTTATACATTGCTGGTGAGAGTAAAATGATGCTCATTCCAGGAAAGGATCTGTATTTTCTTATAAAGTTCAACACACATTTATGATATGACCCAGCAATTCCATTCCAGGTATTTACCCTAGAATATGAAAACATGTCCAAACAAAGACTTGTACATAAATTATCATGGCAGCCTTACTCATAAGTCACAAAATGGAAATAGTTCAAATGCCCACTAAGAGAACGGATAAAGAAATTTTAATATTCATTCAATGGAATGCTACTCAGCACTAAAAAAAAAACTTCAACTAGTAATAAACTCAACAATACAAGTGAATATCAACTAGCTGAGTAAAAGCAGGAAATAAAAGGCTATGTATTTAGATTTTATTTGTATGGAAACTAACCCATGATAAAGGTTAAAAAAAAAAAATCAGGCAGATTTAAAAAAAATGTTCATTTATTTATTTTGAGAAAGAGAGAACACCAGTGAGGGAGGGGCAGAGAGGAGAGACAGAATCCCAACCAGGCTCTGAGTTATTAGCATGGAGGCCGATGTGGGGCTCAATCCCACAACATGGAGATCATGACCTGAGCTGAAATATAGAGTTGGAAGCTTACCAACTGAGCCACACAGGCACTCCAAAATTCAGGCAGATTTTTGACAGAAGTCAAAAAGCAGTTGCCTCTAAGTCTGGGGGTGGAGAAATGACTGGCAAGGGATACAAGGATCCTTCTTTCACGTGGAAAGATTCTAGAGCTTGATTTGAATGGTGGTTACCCAGATGTTAAGTATTTGTCAAAATTCATCAGATTGAACATGACAGCAGTATCCTTATTTATCATATATCATAAAATGAGGTGAAAACTCCATAGTACATCAGACAAGATTTGATTGAACCCTTATCTTTAAAAATGCAACTAAGGGGTGTGTGGGTGGCTCAGTTAAGTGTCCGACTTTGGCTGAGTTGATGATCTCATGGTTCGAAGTCTGGGTCCTGCATAGGGCTGTCTGCTCTCAGCACAGAGCCTGCTTGGCATTCTCAGCAACCCTTGCTCCCCGCCCTGCCACACCCCTCCTCCACTCACATTTTCTCTTTTTCCCAAAAAAATAATACATTCCTGAAACCATTATTACACTAGGTTAACTAACTTGGATTTAAGTAAAATTAAAACATAAAAAAGTACAACTAGTATAAAAAATATGCTAAATCTTATTTACATTTAACATTAAGTTGTAATTGTATCATAAACTAATCCTTATGCTGAACAAAGCATAAAAAAATGCACCTAAAAGATGTAAATTTGGTCAAAATTATGGTGGCCAAACAGAATAGCTCTCACTTATAATCATGTCATCAATTTTCCCAAGAACCTATTAATCTTTGATAGGTAAGTTAATTTTTATATCCCTCGGTGAACATTTTTTCATGTTAGAATTGTTTTTGCTTCCCTAAGAAATCTTGTAATGGAAGGTACCTGGACAGTGAATACTCAGGTAACAAGGAACCTCTCTACATAAAACAGGGGGTGGGGTAAGAATCAAACCTTCCCCCAAAGAACCAAAGACAATCTTTAAGGTCAGAAACAAGATTAAGACATCTCTCACAGCTTCTACAAGCTGTGAAATATATACACATGGAATGCACATATCCATATGGTTATAGGCACTTGCATCATTATTGAACTCCCAAGGACCCATAAACTATTACTTACATGGCTCCTAAATTTAGTATATCTCATAAATCTCTTACCTCATTCTCCTTTTTATTTTTTTTAGCCACAGACAAAATTTCCTAGAACATTAGAAAACAAAAATAAAATAACAATGCATGTGGTTCATTCATTTATTTATTCAACATTTATTCTGTTCTGACTTCATGCCAGGAAATGGGGATAAGGCTCTCAAGCTAATTAAAGTGCAGAGGACTCAAACTGGTGGACCTCAGGCAAAATTAAGCCTATAGTGTCTCATAAAACTCTTCGCCTTAGTTAGCAACTCTTAAAAATTGGGGTATTTCCTCTTAAATTTTCAAGGTTTTTTGGTTTGTGTTTTAAATACAAGTTTATCTGAAGAGACTTTGGTCCAAATGCATACATGTCAATAATCCTCTAGTACAGGGGTTGGCAAACTACAGCCTGTGGACAAACTCCAGCTGGCAACCTGATTTTGTAAATAAAGTTTAATTAGAACAAAGTCAAGCTCATTTGTTAAATTTGTGTAGGACTGCCCTCCAGGCTATAATGGCAAAGTTCGGCATTGAGTAGTTACCCACTAAATTATTCAAAGCCAAAAACATTATCTATACCCTTACAGAAAAGGTTTTCTAAACTCTGCTCTAGAGTCTGTGTTGAGGTATTCTTGGTATTTAAAGATTCTCTTCCAAATGTTTTATAGTTCCACCTCTTGCCCGCTTTAGGCCTCTGTGGATAGACACCTGAGTCTGCAATCCTGAGCAAGAGGTAAGGCAAATAAGTTAAAATTACAGAATAGGGGCACCTGAATGGTTCTATTGGTCAAACATCTAACTCTTCATTTTGGCTGAGGTCACCATCTCATGGTTGTGGGATCAAGCCCTGAGTTGGGCTCTGTGCGGCATGGAGCCTGCTTGAGTTATTTTCACTCTTTCCCCTCTCCCTTTCCCCCTTGCTGCCCCTCCCCCACTCTCCTTTTAAAAAAATCTCTAAAATAAAATAAAATATAAAAAAGCAGAATTAAAGTGTTCTGATTTTTAAGTATTTACTAGATGCTAAGGATATGAAGACAAGCAATACCTGAGTGCCACTTGGTGACTTAGGTGAGTATTACATCAAATTATCTGAAAAAGTTGTCATCAGGGCATAATCACTGAAGATAAAAGTTAGGGTTTCATTTCAAGAAGAGAATACCATGTGCAGAGTACAAAGGGGATGAAATAGTAGATACATTCACGAAACTCTGAACATATCTTAAATTTAAGATGCATAAGAGAATGACAGGACATATCAGTAAGTGGCTGACACATACATACATATATACATGTTGATTTATGTGTGTCATGTGTGTATGTAAAGTATTATGCAAGTATAGGAATTCATACCCTAAGGCTGAAGGGATATAGTGAACAGGCAGGAGAGTGGTCTTTTAAAATGACTAGCTAAGCTGAATCTTTTTGAACAATCTGTGAATGAATCAAAACATAAACATAATACCAGCTATGAACTATTGTTAAAAACTAAACCCCATAACTAACCTCCTGACTCTGCTTACCTCTAGCTTCATCTTTTACCACCTTTTCCTTTACATACAAACTGGAAACAAATATGTATTTTCAAGTTCTTAAAATGTGCCAGGATCTCTCCTGCCTCTGGATGTTGGTCAAAGGTTATTCTCTCTTCCTAGAACACTTCTCTACTATCTTCCCTGTATCTTACTTTTCCCTATTAACTACCCTCAACCTCCGGATGATTTAACTTTTATCCTTCAAGTCTCAACTCAGATGTCACCTTCTAGAAGATTTTAAGAACCTAACGCCTGAGTTTAGAGAGTCCTTCTATAGGCTCAACAGCACTCAATTATAATTGATTACTTTCTATATATTTCTTACTGGACATAGGCTAAGGCAAAGACAGTCTACTTTCCTTTACTAATTGATCTTATCCATGTAGGACAACATCTGCCAACAGGCAATATGCCACCAACATTTGCTACATTAAAGTAACAGTTGTGACTGGCTAAACTATGATACATCTAAATAATGGTGTTTTTCAAACTGCAGGCCATGTTCCATAATCAATAAAATGGGTCCTGACCATTATTTTTAAATGAAAGGAAAAAAATAAAAGGAAAATACCAGAGTGCATCCCTAAAGTAAAGACAAATACTATGTGAAATTTTATATTTTAGGAAGATCCCAAGAGTTTGAATTTTAGGTTAAAGAAAAATGTAGTAGATAATACTGTTAGAATTTTTTTTAATGTTAAGAATGTAACACATTAAAATATGCCTAAGGAATATTAAGGTTTGTCATAAATGAACATGTTTTTTAATTCCTATTTTATGAGGTCACAAGTAGGAAGGTAAAAAAGGATCTAGTTTTAAAAATGAGTATATGATGGGGAAGCTGGCTGGCTCAGTCAATGGAACATGTGACTCTTGATTTCAGGGTTGTGAATTCAAGCCCTACACTGGGTGTAGAGATAATTTAAAAATAAAATCTTAAAAAAAAAAAAAAAAAAAAAAAGTCAGTATATTTTAGTTCCCCTAAATTCCTTAACAGGGAACAAGAACAAAGTTCTGAAGATAAGGTCTTGAAGTTATAAGAAATTATAATAACTTTTGATTAGGCCAAGCTCATGCTCCTGTAACAAACAAGATGGTACCATCTTCTTGCCTGAAACAGTCCCTCAACAGTCTGAAAAACTTCCCGTAAGAGTCTGAAAAGCCAAATAAGTAACAGCAATCCATATAGCTTTAATGTGGTTCAAAATCCACAATAGGTTTTACTGAACACTGAATCTTATGTGCCCTCCCCACTTTTTTACCTCTTTTGACATGACCTCTGAAATATTGTATGATTCATCTTCTCTTCCTCTCTTCTTTCTCATAACTATTAAAAAAAAATCATTTTATTTTTGATAGCAATGAAAGCAAAAATAAAAACACATGCTTCAAAAGCAGAAAAAGGAAGTTCACCTGGATTCTCTTCACTTGCATCAGTGGAATTTTTACCCTATAAAACAAGAATTTAAAATATTATTTTTCTAGGGACTTCTATGGTATTAAATATTAAAAGGCACTGATTAAGTAAATGTTTCTTGCAGTTGAACCACATTCACAACTCTTTACTATTATACTTACCAGCATGTAACCTTTTTTCTACATTTCCCTATTAAAAGTTGTTTGTAACCATATTCTTTTTCCTGCCAACTCTACTTTCCTTAATTTTTTTTCCATTTGAGAAATTTCTACATTAAACATAGAAGACATTTTTATTTTTATATTACTACACACATCTTCTGTAACTGTAGGTCTATGCTAAAGATATTCAGTAGGTATGGTATGGAAGAACTACTCATTTTCAGTAACAATTTTAAGCTAAATACAACTGAAAGCAGAAATAGAAGAGAATACTAGTTGAAAAAATATTAATGAGGGGAAAACAGAGGAAAGAAAGAGATATTCAAAAATAAAGTTTCAAAATGAAAGTTGGAAAAGACAACCAAATGTAGGGAGAAAATATGTATAAGAAATCAAAATTAACAAGGTAAATTTTATTTATTTATTTAATGTTAACTCCACACCACACATGGGACTCAAACTCACAGCCCAAGATCAAGCTCTATCAACCAAGCCAATCAGGCGCCCCAAGAAGGTAAATTTTATTTACTTATATTTATTTATTTAATAAATGTTTTTTTGGGGCGCCTGGGTGGCGCAGTCGATTGGGCGTCCGACTTCAGCCAGGTCACGATCTCGCGGTCCGTGAGTTCGAGCCCCGCGTCGGGCTCTGGGCTGATGGCTCAGAGCCTGGAGCCTGTTTCCGATTCTGTGTCTCCCTCTCTCTCTGCCCCTCCCCATTCATGCTCTGTCTCTCTCTGTCCCAAAAATAAATAAACGTTGAAAAAAAAAAATTTAAAAAAATAAATGTTTTTTTTATTTACTTTTGAGACACAGAGAGACAGAGCATGAATGGGGGAGGGTCAGAGAGAGACAGAGGGAGACACAGATTCTGAAACAGGCTCCAGGCTCCGAGCTGTCAGCACAGAGCCCGACGCGGGGCTTGAACTCACGAACCACGAAATCATGACCTGAGCTGAAATCAGATGCTTAACCGACTGAGCCACCCAGGCACCCCAAGAAGGTAAATTTTAAAATAAAGTAAAAAGAAGATTAAAACAAGAAAGTACCAAAAGGGATCTGTGAGATGGAAGAGGCAGAACTTAATGGTTGACACCTTTAGAAAACCCTGGTATAAAAAGTTAGCTAGGCAAAAGTGAACAATGGATTAAAACAACAAGTTGAAGAGTAGGGAGTAAATGATTAAGCAAATAAAATTATCTTAGGGGCGCCTGGGTGGCTCAACAGGTTAAGCATCTGACTCTTATTGGCTCAGGTCATGATCTCACAGTTTGGGGTTCAAACCCCACAATGGGCTCTGTGCTGACAGTCTGGAGCCTGCTTGGGATTCTGTCTCCCTCTCTCTCCGCCCTTCCGTGCTCACGATCTCTCTAAAAAAATAACAAAATTAAATAAATAAATAAATAAATATTAAAAATTATCTTGTATCAGTTTTCAAAAATTGCTTTTGTTGCAAAATTATCTATGATATACTTTAACATCACCAATAACCACACTAAGAATAAAGTGGACTTAAAGGTACCCTTATTGGCATTTTGATATTACCTGATCAAGCCAGATTAGTAAAGAAGTGTGGGGTATGAAACAAACTCCAACATTACTATTTATTGAATATGTAACTATCAGCAGGTTAGTGAGTTCTCATTCTGTTCTATATAGTAACTACAAATACTAGATTAGTGAACAACGAATCACTACTTCTGGAAGAAATACAAGCTCAGGCTCCTGCAAGCCTCTGGTCACAATTTCATCAACCGATCAACACATAACCCTGTTTTATGTGTGTTGCTATTTAAGGACATCTTATTTAATATAGATGTTGATTAACAGCGAACTCAGAGCCAACAGCACTATAATTCATGCCTGAAGGAAGTTTGTTGAATACATTTATTTTCTCCATAAGGCACATCATAGTCTTCTTGCATTAGAAACACTAGACAGCACTTCAGCACAATATGGCTGAGGGCCATTTTAACAGCAAAATCAACAAAACCCATAAAAATGAAAAAATCATGACATTAAATAAACCATGAAAAGGGCATTTGTTTATAGTAAGCTTAAGTAAGGCAGAGCACCACTGTGTTTAACTTCAGTTAGAAATTTGCGTGTTGGAAGACAAATTTTTTGCTATTCTGCACAGGAACAGGTCTACAAATGACCATGACCATGAAATCCCAAGTACTGATTTTGGAGTTAACAAATTTTAGCAAGTAGGCTAACTGGCAAATATGGAATCTGTGCATAATGAGGATGGACTGTACTTTATGCATTCAGCTTCTTTATATGGAAAATGGGGAGAAGTACAGTACCTCTATCTAACAGAGCCTTTTGAGAATTAAAACAAACGTAGGGGCACCTGGATGGCTCAGTCAATGGAGCATGCAACTCCACAATGAGCATAGAGCTTACTTAAAAAAATAAATGCAAAGTTTAGAAATACATGACACAGGGGCGCCTGGGTGGCGCAGTCGGTTAAGCGTCCGGCTTCAGCCAGGTCACGATCTCGCGTTCCGTGAGTTCGAGCCCCGCATCGGGCTCTGGGCTGATGGCTCAGAGCCTGGAGCCTGTTTCCGATTCTGTGTCTCCCTCTCTCTCTGCCCCTCGCCCGTTCATGCTCTGTCTCTCTCTGTCCCAAAAATAAATAAACGTTGGAAAAAAAAAAAAATACATGACACATAGTAAGAACTCAATAAATGTTGCCTTCATTATTTCTCTTTTCAGGAGTACAGCTGTTCTTCATACAATTCCCATCAGGACAGCATTAAACAGCCTCATATTAAAACATATTCCCCTCAAAAGACCACATCTAAAATTCAGGCCATCCCTGGGCCACCTGGGTGGCTCTGTCGGTTAGCATCTGACTTTGGCTCAGATCAAGATCTCGCGGTTTGTGAGTTCAGGCCCCACGTTGGGTTCTATGCTGACAGCGTGGAGCCTGGAGCCTGCTTCACATTCTGGGTCTCCTTCTCTCTCTGCCCCTCCCCCACTCACGCTCTGTCTCTCCCTCTCTTTCAAAAATAAACAAACATTAAAAAAATAATTAAAAAAATAAGATAAAATAAAATTCAGGCTATCCCTAAACAAATGCTCTCTTATCTGAAATGTTTATCTCTCCAATTTTGGCTCCACTGCTGTAGTCACGCATAAGATACAAATTTAGATTATCATTATGGATGCAAGTTGACATGAGGAGGCTGACACTAAGGAGAAAAGATTAGTAATCATTATGAGCACCAAAAGAGCTGGCCACTTATAAAAGTGAAATTTTGCCGTTATGAAAAACAGAATGAGAAACAAAAGGGTTATATTTAGCTGTCTTTCCATATCTAAATATACTGAGAAACATATTTACATGTTTCTATGCAGCTCGTAACAAAGATAGGTTTTCAGAAGGTTAAAATAAAGTAGATGATCAATAAAGTCAGACTATAAAAGAGCGGTGCCTGGGTGGTTCAGAAGGTTGAGCGTCTGACTCTTGATTTTGGCTCAGGTCATGATCTCATGGTTCATAGGTTCGAGTCCCCATGCTTCGGATTCTCTCTCCCCCCTCTCTCTCTGCCCCTACCTGACTTGTGTGCTCTCCCTTACTCAAAATAAATAAGTAAACTGAAAAGAAAAAAAAAAAAAGGATTACAAAAGTATTTCTTCAATATTTAAGAATGCATACAGGATTTTCCATCTTACTATATATTACCTTAGTAACTTTTAAAGATTCCTTTTTTCTTTCCAATTTCTCTTTCTTCTTCTGTTCCTGCGAGATAATGTTTTTAGTGTCACAAGCAGAAAGTGCAAAATCTAGAACACACACCTCAAATAACATGTTCACAATGAAGAAACTATATAAAGATTTAAAAACAAGGGAGAATTTGCACTTCAAGCCTTTACAGAGCAATAGGGAACAGATTTCCTCTCCTGCCTGAAGGAACAGAAAGGCCAGGAAAGAGCCACCAGAAAGAAGCTGGTAGAACAATCTTTGTGCTCACAAGGAAACAGGAACAGTTCACACCCCTGTCAGGCAAAGTAAAAGGGCCTGCCAACATAGAAGGCAACAAGCAGAGTGCTCAGAAGAGGGGCCAAGTTATTCCTAGACTAAAAGCTATTCCATATACACCCTAACAAAGCTTTAAAACACAGACAAAAAAGGATTCAAACCATTCCCAAGAAGTGGTTAGAAGATATTTTTCCGATAACTCATTAAGCATGATTGTTTTATTCTCCTATACCTGTGTTTCATTTTACCATACAAAGGTTTAAAAAGGAATTCAACAAAGGAAAAAGAAGATTTAGCAAATACAGCAAAATCTTGACTGATAATTATGAGATGGGAATGATGGGAACAGGAAATTATTGTAGTCTTGATATTTGCAAATTTATAATTTATAAATCTTCATACATTCTAGTGGGCAAAAATAATATATCTTACTAAGTGCAATGGGAAGACAAGAACAAGGTCAAGGGTACTAGGAGTGTGCTGATGGAAAAGGTGTCAGATAGCGATTTCATTTAAGGTTGTTAGGGTAGGCTTCATTGGGAAAACATTTAAGCCAAGGCTTGAAGGTGATGATGAACTTAGCTATGCAGGTATCTATGAGAAGATGGTTCCAAGCACAAAACAGCCAGTGCAAGGCCCCCAAGGCAGGAAACACACCTGAAATGAGGTCTGAAAGGTAATGGGGTTGAGTGAGGCAACCAGACTTATGGTCTTGTGGGCCATTATTAAAACTTTGGTTTAAAGAAAAAAATTTTTTGGTTTTGTCATGATCAATGTAAACTAGAAAGCAGTGAAATATCATGAGGGTAGGGACACCAGGACAGGAGTAAGAAAGCACTAAACAAAAATAAATTCTTTGCTCAATAAAATATCTTCAGGCGCAGGGTGGCTCAGTCGATTAAGCATCCGACTTCTGCTCAGGTCATGATCTCACAGTTTGTGGGTTTGAGCCCTACATTGGGCCCTGTGCTGATAATTCAGACCTTGAAACCTGCTTCAGATTCTGTGTCTCCCTCTCTCTGCCCCTCCCCTGCTCACACTCTATCTCTCTCAAAAATAAAGATTACCAAAAAAAATAATCTTTCAAAAACAAAGACGAAGAAATTTTCAGAAATATAAAAGCTAAAATAATAAATTACCAACA